TGTTTTGCTCCGCAATTTGTTTTACTTCAGTTATTTCATTTTGAAGTTTCCTGATACAAATTTCAAAACTGTTCATTTTTTCGTTTATCTGGTCAAGTAGGCCCAGTTTCGGTAGGATTTGGTCTAGCTGTGCCAGTCTTCCCTGTAGGTCATTCAATAGGTGCATCATTGACGGGGGATACGGAGGAGGCGGCGGCAAAGGATGAGGAGGTTGTGTAGGGGACATACGTGTGTGTTGTCCGTATAGTAGTGGGCCGTCACGGCTTATTGGTGTATACAGCTCACTCTGAGACACAGTGCACGTGCTGGGCGACATTACAAGGATCGATACGGGTACATTACCGGGTATTGGTGTCGATACGTACTGACCGGTATATACATCATAATATCTTTCATTTGAATTACTTGAAATGTTCTGTTGACCACACTGCCCGTAAAGCGAACCATGAGTGTCCGTAATTACTGCCGACATAGGGGTAGGAGTAGGGGTACATGTAGCCATCTGTTGAACGTGTACTTTCTCGGGTGGAGTTACACCTGTGGATGAGTTTTTACCTTTGCGTTTGTTTCCCATAATAACTCTAGATTTCCCTTCTCTAGGATGTTTAGAGAGGTATTAAGCATGTTCTGTCCAAATGTCACATAATAAGGATCCAAAGAATACATTTAATACCAGAAAATATCGGAGCACGTACCTGAAACGTCCATATTACCTGCCTGTCATGCGCATCCCATACACCAGGAAGCCCTCCTATATCAACGTAAGCTGTCCACAGGACGTTATACCATCAAATAAAACTCTATCTGTGTTATTCTTGTATCAATTAATGTATTAATACTTCTAGTTGAGAGAATTCACCCTTTTAAAATCTATTTCTGCTATTTTTAGAACAAACATTAACAAGTTTGTTGTCTGTTGCCTCAATTATTTCGTGTTTCTATCAGTGTTTGAGAAGACAAACCTCCACAGCTTCGTTAGGACCACATTTGTCAGCTATGAAATACGATTGTGTTTAAGAGTGCGGACATTTACAAAAGGTGTCCATTCCTACATAAACATAGTGGTCACTTTGATATGACAGGCTTAATAGCCGTGAGCTATATTTTCCATGTTATGGCATGTGTAATTAATTTTCCCTCGGAGAAGGCGTGATGTGGACAGTTAAATGTCACCAGTCCGGTAATAGGAAGTTGGGTGGGTTGTATCATATATTTATTCATTGTCCTATTTTAGAATCTTTGACTGATCACCGTTCATTACTTGCCAAATCATTTATGGACAACATCTTTCAATGTGCGTTGCAGTAATGAGGACTTAAAACCACCAACTAACCCATTTTGTCAGTTTAAAACATACAGCTTTATTAGATACTATTTCGAAAGTTGTTTGGTGAATATCGCAAGGTTTCAGCGACTAGCGGGGTCAACGCCAGCACATTTTTGTCCCATCAAGAAAATGACAACACGTCCAGTATAACAGGAGTGAAGTGAGGACTATCTCTCTAGGTGTCACTGGTTACAAAGTATCCTACCTCCCTTCCAGCGAGGTCAGGTCACACCAAGTTGGAATATGTAAACGGATATAACAATTTATCATTTGGACTTGTATGTTGGAAGTTTACGGATATTATCTACGATATGAAATATAGGAGTATAAATGTGTGTAGTAGGTAACCAGAGCAGCTGTCTGTATTCCCTGTGTAAATCAACCGTACATGACAGAGAGAAATAAGGTTTCTCGTTTAACTTTTATCTTCATGAAAAAACATTATTTTTTTGTTTTCATTTACATCCCTTTAAGTTTAATCATATTTTATTTCATTTCTGTGTCAAGGATAAAGTATCAATATGAAGAAAAGAATTCAGACAAAAAAGGAGTAAAAAAATATATAAATCAGTCTGCTTAAGAAAATGGCCAACCGGTGACAACACAACAAAGCTCAACAATAATGTATAATGACAATATTTGATAATGAGAGAGACAGACAGACAGACAGACAGACAGACAGACAGACAGACAGACAGACAGACAGACAGACAGACAGACAGACAGACAGGCAGACAGGCAGGCAGACAGACAGACAGACAGACAGACAGACAGACAGGAGGAGAGAGAAAGAGAGAGACATAGAGAGAAACAGAGAGAAAAGGACAGGGAGAAAGAAAGAGACAGACAGAAAGAGATAGAGTGGGGGAGGGACAGAGAGAAAGAGAGAGATAATGAGGGACAGGAGGAAAGAGAGAGAAAGAAATAGAGAGTGGGAGGGAAAGAGAGAAAAACAGAGACAGAGAGGGAGGGAGAGAGAGCGAGAGAGAGAGGGGGGACAGAGAGGGACACAGAGAGAGACAGAGAGAGAGAGGGAGAGAGAGAGAGAGGGAGGGACAGAGAGTGACAGAGAAAAAGACAGAGACAGAGAGGGAGGGAGGGAGAGCGAGAGAGATAGGGGGACAGAGAGGGACAGAGAGAAAGACAGAGACAGAGAGGGAGGGAGGGAGAGCGAGAGAGAAAGGGGGAGGGAGAGAGGGGGGACATAGAGGGACAGAGGAGGGAGGGAGAGAGAGCGAGAGAGAGGGGGGGGACAGAGAGGGACAGAGAGAAAGACAGAGACAGAGAGGGAGGGAGAGCAAGAGAGAGGGGGACAGAGAGGGACAGAGAGAAAGACAGAGACAGAGAGGGAGGGAGGGAGAGCGAGAGGGAGGGGGGGGGACAGAGAGGGACAGAGAGAAAGACAGAGACAGAGAGGGAGGGAGGGAGAGCGAGAGAGAGAGGGGGCAGAGAGGGACAGAGAGAAAGACAGAGACAGAGAGGGAGGGAGAGAGAGAGGGGGAGGGAGAGCGAGAGAGAGAGGGGGGACAGAGAGGGACAGAGGAGGGAGGGAGGGAGAGAGTTCGAGAGAAAGAGGGGGGAGGGACAGAGAGGGACAGAGAAAAAGAAAAAGAGTACATCCATTTTCCGTTGATAAAGACAAACTTAGAAACATGCTTATGATGTACGCTGTACATGTGTGATAGATTCATGACAGAAAATATTTAAAGACATATTGTCTTTGTAAGCAGTAAACTCACCAGTTAAAGTTACACTGGAAATAATAAATGTTAAAATTGAAAGCGTCGTTATAAAATAACTTGACATAACGTGTTGGGTGTACCTGGGGGTGCCATTGGAGAGATAATGAAATCAAAATTGGTTTCATATCATGTCAGCTATTCTGCCAAAATCGCCAAACTTCTCCGTTAGTGTTTCCAATTCCGATGTAGGACTTCCTGGATCGAGATGTAGATAAGTGACTTCTGTAGAAGAGACTGTTGTGTCCTCGATTTCCCATTCTCGTGGGTGTATATACGACGGACATGGTTAATGCATTTCTTAATGTTCAAAAACAAGACGTTATCCATATATCTGAGAGTGAAATGTAATAACTTTACAATTCCTTGGTGACCATTTCAGCCTCGCATGAACAGAGGGACACAATTTGTTCCAACAGGTGAACTAAAAGATCCAACCACCACACTCGACGAAAATGTTTTCAACCAGAAACTCGATCATTTTTATTATTTCGTCCTACGTATATTGTTTTGATTCGGACATATTTTTCACGAAATGCGTTTCAGTCGAGTTCGTGTTCTTACATGTATATACATTAAAATGAAATCAACCTTCGTATCTTGAACACTATTTATGTAAGACATCAAAAGTAGGCTGTTCTCTTTTCTTTATTTCTAAAGAGAAGAAACAACAGCACACGGCTACATACAGTTATCTTCAGGAAAAGGGGCCTTCGTACTGTTAATGTTTGAATTAATGATTGGTGATAAACATCAAGATGAAATAAAACTGAAATTTTATCATAGCATTTGGTGATTATCCCCCCTAGATAAACAACAGAGAAACTGTGTGATTACAGATTCCGGTCGCCTACTGTTTCGCCCTTATGTGTGTAATCTACACATCTTAAAAGTTGTTTCTTAAACTATTTTGAACCTTTTATATTCACTAAATAAACAATACCGTGTCCTGGGTATACTGTTTTGGCATGTTCAAAAAAGTTACCCCACTTGTGCACACACACACACACCACCACCACCACCATCCCACCCACACACTATCTACATCTGATCTGCAACGAATTTTACGACGAAGATTTGTAACAAGATGTTGTATACATGTGTTCGATATTTTCACCGATATTTTCATATAGACATTTAAAATAATGTATTTAATCATATTGCTTATTTAGAATGATATCCTTGGTCCATAGGATGTGATGAGCCATTCACCGTTAAACATCTTTATTGAACTGCATTGACCTTCTGTCTAATCGAGAACGTTTTTATCGTAACATTACATGTCTAAAATCCCTTTTTGAAACTGTTGAGATTTGTAAAATTCTACATTACCTGAAAGATGTTGGTCTTTATAATAGACTATGAAGTACCATTCTAATCTTTTGTGTTAACATACCCATTTAAGATTTTTAACATTTGTCTTTACCTTTTGGTTTGTTTAATGTTGTTTCCTTTTGGATCGCTTTGTGTTTTACCGTTTGATGGCCCTAATGACCTTTTATGCGTTGACGGGCCGTGAAGAATGTAATAATAATAATAATATTTAGAATGATACCAATAAGGTTGATTCTATCATTCATCAGATAATGTCCGACAGATTATAAACACATTTTCTATTTATTAAACGATTTATTACAAAAATAATAAAAAAAAAACATTGAAGAAGTTGGACGAATCATTGCGATGTAATTATACTATACATTCCACAGTGATCCTTACTGGTCCATGACGGATAGAAAAATGTACTGTTATCTTAAAACGCCATCAATGATGAGGATGACGGAAAACTCCACGTTTGAGCGTCTTTATTCGTTGAATACCCAGTGTTTCTGATGTTTATGGTTCCCACAAAGTGTCCGGTACATAGAAGTGACCACGGATAAGGTAGTTTTGGTTACACAATCTACTGTATATAGTATTTGCTATACACACGATCAAAATCCGAAATCAAACCCCATCATCATGGCCATCAGCATGTTGTTGACAGCATTGTTGTTGTTGTTGTTGTTGTTGTTGTTGTTGACCATACCATTGCTGGCTGCGGCGTTAGTATCGATGTTGTCGTTGTAATTGTAGTCATTGAACAACCAGTCGAAAACATCATATGGTTGGGTCTGAGGTAACTGAGCGGGTCGACTGGCAGCTGTTGGCTGGACAACTGATCCTGACATTGGTATCATCAGCCCGCCAGCCCCTTCAGCTCCACCTACCCCTGACTGTTGGGCTGGTCTCGTCTCAGCATTGCCCATACCTTGACCATAAATACAAACACAACGACTATATCACCACACCGTTCAGTCATTCTTCGATACATTTTTAATTAAACATTCCTAGTATTAATAATTAATTAGCTATTATTAATGTTTGTCATATTTGGAAAATACATGATATTATGACATATGTATGCGTTAGCATGCAGGCAATTCGTGGTACAATAAACTAGTAAGCGGTATTTAAAAAAATATTTTACATAATTTCTCAAATAGTACGTTTTGGTTTAAAAGATACGGGTTTTGGAAAATTCATATAAAAACAACTTACTAATGAGACAAATGATTAATTGAAAAATCCGAAAAAACCTGATAAAGAAGTAAATAAGATTTAGATGATAGTGAGTATGCTTGAAATTAATATTGCTCAAACCTATCGGTCTTTCTTACCTTCTACAAATGAGAGTGCTACAAGGGCGAGAACTAAACCACACAAAGTTTGCACCATGATGTGATGTGACGCTGTCGGCTGTCCACTTCAGTATGGTAGGTGTTTATGTACCGCTCTGTCTTAAACACAGCCGACCTCTTCAACTGAAAACTGACAGAGCGTTAATAAGCTTCGTGCACTTGACTAAATCAACAGCATGACGGCCTGAAACCTGTCATTAAATAATTCGGGATACCAACGATGACAGATGCGTTTCGTTTGTTTTACCTCTTTATACTGTTTATCATTGTGCCCAAAAATGATAATTTGGGTACAAGTGATCAAGAATGTTCGTTAAGCTGAAGACCTTTGGATCACAATGTTTCACTAATGATTTACGGTGAGAAGAGATTGCCATCAATCCTTGTTAGCTTAATGCCATTGAGTTTACATATAACATGTACTTCAGAAAAATTCGCCTGGCCTGTTATTAAGGTAATACATGATTACAACACGTCAAAATACATTTAACAAACTAGCGGGTCATACATCATAAATTACAATCCACATCAAAGTCGATGTGAAATGGCGTAAAGCCGCCTGGATACAAGATAGATGACAGCAAGGCCTTGCTAAAGTGGACGTATTTTGACCCAAACCGACTTGAAAGATAATTCATCCCTTTATTAAAGTAGTATGGCATACGACATCAAGGTAGAATTAAGCATGCGTATAATGAATGGAATTCATTTGTATCTGGTAGGGAAAAAACGTGATTGTCGATTGTCGTTGATTAAATGTTTGTATTAAGCTGTTTGTTGTGCGTGCCGTCCGGATAATTGTTTCTACAGAAATTAACCTGTCCTAGTTCTTGGAGTCGTGAACGATAATTTGTCCGCAAAATAACGCCTTTATATTACCGCTCATCATCGTTATAAAGAATAAGGAGAGTATTTTCATATATTTTCTACAAACCTGGTAATACAAAACACAATATACTAAATAAAATATACATATAATATGTACATATATATATATATGTATTTTAAAATACCCCTTTTCAAAACAATTTGACAAGTCGTAATTTTAGCCAAGATTCCATGAGAAATCTGCCATTTAGGTCATTCTGTCGCCAAACAAGCAGAAGATGATATGTACATATATACATGTATGTATTTTAAAATACCCCTTTTCAAAACAAATTTGACAAGTCGTAATTTTAGCCAAAATTCCATTTGAAATCTGCCATTTAGGTCATTCTGTCGCCAAACAAGCAGAAGATGATCACCTTGACAGAACGCATATTTGCAAACAAGTACAGTTGAACCTCGCTATCTCGAACTTGTATTACTACCCCGTTTCATTCGAAACATTTGGGCGGTCCCTGCCTCATTTTACACAAAACATTCGAACTCTTCTATTTGATAGAATATTCGGTCATCTGGAACATTTGCCAGGGTCCCGCCGAGTTCGAGATAACGAGGTTCGACTATATTCTCTTGGTATGTTTTATTCTGTATGCTGTAAAAATGTGTGTATACGGTAACTGGGCGTGTCCTTATATTTCAGTTATAAAGAATACGTATAAGAGATGTTCTTCAGCAATGGGTCTTACAGAGATTCGATTCGAGCTGGATTGTTCTTAATAACGAGTTTTCACGGGGGAATAACACATTCTTCTAAAATCGTACTCCAGGTGTCCATTAGCCTGAGGTGTATTGTAGACAGAATAATTAACTGCTGATTAGTGTAAGGTTGGTGAAACTTGTTCTGTTTTCATGGTGATATAAGATTGAAGTTAATGGAAGGTCAGTGTATGTACATTATATAATTGGAACACAAAAGTCACGTAAAATGTAATAAAAAAATACTTTCATGGTAGAAACAACACAGAATAAGGGCCGTCAGAGACAGGTTCTGCTTTCCGAAATGGACAAAATCAAATTATACAAAAATAACAAAAGGCAATAAGAGAGTTATGATCCTTGTGCACCGCCCTCCTTCTCGTTAAGATCTATCTACCAATAAAGTTTCATGTTAATACCGCTTATACTTTTAGTGTAATGATCCGGACAAAATTTAAGGATGAACAATAACAAAGGGCAATAACTCCGTAATTATGCAGAAGAGAGTGATGGTTCTGGTGCCCTGCACTTCTCAATATTGAGATCTATCTACCTATGAAGTTTTATGTTGATTCCTCTTATAATCTTTCGTGTTATGCTCCGGACAAAATTATAGCGGACGGACGAACGGGCTACGGGCGGACAATGTGGTGACTATATCGATAACAAGTCCCGACATAATGTGTTTAATGTTAACTAGCGGATAGTAGATATTTAAAATTGTTGCCATTGAAAATAAAACTAAAACTCGGAAAATATCAACATAAACAAGTTTATTACTGTGAAATAATTGAGGATATTCATAATATTGATTGATTCATATTTGAATATTTTCATTTACCTTAAATCAGTCTTTTTACAACTGTGGCAGTAGCTGGGCTTAAACGACAATGACTATCAAACCTTATACGACAATGGCTGTCAAAACTAAGGCGGAAGATGAACAACAGGTACATCCGGGAACGTATCTCCCTTTAATGTCTCGATACCGTGTGATATTGTACTTTTTGCCCCGTGTGATCATTATACAATGTCTTTGAGTTAGGATGATATCCTGTTTCTTTAATCTTTGATACGATAAACAAGTCTCCTTTTTACGACTCAATCATTGCTCGATGATCGTGTGTCTGCTTTCAAATCCGTCGTCGTTTACGTTGTACATGTCGCAATGAGTTCGATATTCTAAGGCTTGTTGCCCATTGTCAAGATTTCTGTGAGTTCAGGATTTGGAAACAAACAGGGCAGTCAACATCTTCTCATTGAAACATATTTCTTCATAAATGAAGCTTGGTGTTTGTTTTGTTTTTCGGACAGTTTTCTTTAATAAAACCCCCAGAATAATTTCAATTACGTGAGATAAAATGGACAAAAATTAACTGGAATACCTGGTCGTGTTCGACTTGATGCTTTTAATGGGTCTTGTGTGTTAGATTTCACTGTTTTATTGATTGCCGCAATCGTTTAATAGATCATTATTTAAAATCGTGACTTTGTTGACATGCCGGTTTTTATAAACATCTGTGCGTGCTATTCCTGGCAATATACCTGGCATCCGTATCATTCTCGGTCTCATTTGCCGATTAGCCGTCCGGGGTTCGATTCCCAAAATGGATAAAAAAAAAGTATGGGGTCACCTGCCCGACCACGTGGGTTTTTCCCGGGTACTCCGGTTTCCTCCCACCCCTCGCGCGCTTCCACCAAGAGTGATTAATATGAATTGGAAAAACTTGCTACGCAATTGTTGTAAAATAAATAAAGTTTATTATTATTACCGATGGTTGTAGACCAAACATAATTAATACGCGTCATTATTGTTTCTCTCGTTGAATATTAATGTCTAATTATTTGCACAAACATAACATAACCAACGTTTTAAGCTTTATATCAAACATCGTACACTATAAGATATGTTTCGGGGTAAAAAATCATTATAGACATATATGCCATGTGATTTTCTGATTAAATACATGAAGCCATTTCACTGGATGGACTCTCGTGAAATTTCATTGATGACTCACGTTAAAAGACTTCATCTCTTTCGAAATGTGTTTACCAAGAATGTTTTTATTGTTGTAGCGAGATTTTTTTGGTAAACAAACACAGCCGATTATGTTAAAAAAGATGAAGTATGATTGTCTGTTTGATAGATCGTAATTACGGAGTCGATACAGGGAGGTCAGTGTGAGGTGAATACTCCTTCGTACATTGATGTGACCGATAGTTTACCACTCTCATCGATTGTTTTCGTATTAGGAAAAAGTTGACCTTTTACTTAAATTAGCCATATACAATGTTTGTGACGTCATTTCCCCAATACCTCCGTGTAATGGATTTCTATGGTCACGTGTTTTCCTCGTTAACATGTGTGTATTCCATGCTGTTTACATGTGTAAAAACACATTCCAAAGAACACAACAAAATTGTCACATACGATTTTAAACTTTCCTAAAATTCGTCATTTATATTAGTTTGTTTCATCTAAAATCCTACTAATTGTAACAAAAAATGGCTCTATGGCCATTTAATTTATTTTAATAATAAGCTTTCTCACTCAGACACACACAGGATGTTACAAGAGGTCATAATTAATAGTAATTGTTCACATGGCGGACAAGTATCATGAAACAATTAAATACGTGCATCTAAATGTTTTTCAAGTTTTTCAAAAAAATCAAATTGAGAATAATCCATACATTGTACAATGTTTCGGGACTCTAACGTAACCACGTGACTGTAAGTGTTACGTCATCAGCCTCATTGTGGCAAAAATTATCCTAAAACTACGTCAACTATCATAACTAGGTCACCAAGTTCTAAATATAAGCCCCATAGATGTTAATGAGAAATTAACATACCAGACATTGTCAAGTGTGACAGTAATTATCGTACGTGACCATAAAACATACATTGCTTTTGTGAACGCAGTCAGGAATGCATATGATTAGCATAAACTGACGTCAACTGGTCAGAGTCATGTAACAGGCGTGACGTATGATTCGTGGTAGTAGAACTGTTGTTACTGCTGAGAACGGGTAACATTTTATCTAGGGGTGGATACAATAAGTTACTTTGTAACAAAATTAAAAATTATCTTATGTTAATTATGTATTTATGCCAATTGGGGCCTCTCACAGGTAGGGCAGGTTTCGTAATTAAATGACTGATTAGATATCGTGAAGATTTACATTTAAACCTACATATCTCAGAGAAACGACAGATCCATTATCAGGTAAAGGCGTATGTTACAGAAATATGTAACATTTAAGAAAAATTTCGACTCGGAATTCAACTTTATACTGAAGCAAAGGGGTACAAATAGCTTACTACTTTACATAGTAACAACAATTTGTTTAAGATTCCTTGCGTCGTAAAAATACTTCGAGCAATGATGTGATCAAGCAATTGTTTCGTCATCATTATAATATAAACGTTATCCATTATACAACAATTGCATGAAATCATCGATAGGCCTATGCTACCATATACCACCAGTCGATATCTCCGTGTATAGTGAGGTTACGGCAATTTGTTTTCGTCACGCTCTGTTGGATTTTGGACTCTGTCACTCTGTGTAACTTGTACCGCTGAAAAAATTGGGAAAAAAGGAAAGAAAAGGAAAAGGACATCGAATCCGGCGGTGTTAGAGGAAGACCACGAGACAGACAGTGACCAGAGCTTAGACA